TGAGGGACCATCATGGTATATTAGTGAAATCTAAGAAATAAACATTACTTCACATTTCATTCAGATTTCAATAGCTATTCCCTTAACATCCTTTTTTTGTTCCAGGATCTAGTCCCAGATACAACTTGCATTTAGTCGTCTATCTCCTTAATCTTCTCTGGTCTATGACAGTTTGTCTTTGTTTCATGACTTTGACAGTTGAGTACTGTTTGGGTATTTTACAGAATAGCTCTCAATTTGTGTGTGTTTGATGCTTTCTCCTTATGACTTAACAAGGGTTATTGTTTCGTGGTAAGAATACCAGAGGAAGGATGACTTTTCTAGTCAGAAGAAAAGAGATCCAGTTTGTTGATGGGTATGTTAACTAGAAAAGGGAAATTTACAGATGAGTGGACCACCAGCAGAGTAATGCCTTTGAGTAGACAAAAGGAAACAGTATTTAGAACTCAGAGGGAGACACTGACCTTAGATTTAAAATAAAGACAGTCTATTCATGTTTAAAAACTGACATATTATTAGCACATGATGTGTGGCAGAAACTAATGCACTTTTTCTGTTAATTGTATGTTAGCGTTCTATTGCTGTATAAAATTGATCACAAATTTTAATAGCCTAGCAATGTATATCTTATTTCTCATGAATCAGGCTACACGACACGGTTTAATCATACCCTCTGCTCAGTCATAAAGGGATGAAATTAAGATGTCAACTGGTGATGGCAATTCATGTAGAGCTTAGTAGTCTCTTACCAGCTCACTTGGCTGTGGAAAAATTAGTTTCACTGAAACTGTAGACTCACAGTGGACTGTTTCTTCAGCCCTGAAATAGATGTCTTTAGTGTCTTCTGTCTCTAGCCTCTAAACCTCTTTTATAGGGATCCTCTGCTTAGACCAGTACACCAAAGATTATCTACCTTTTGATTAACTTGAAGTCAACCGGCAAGGGCTCTCAAGCACAGCCTCAGAATCTTCACCTTGGTCATATAATAATTGCATGAATGATATCCCATTACATTTGCCGTACTCTGTTAGAAGCAAATTATAAATCCTACCCAAACTCAAAATGACATGACACATCGGGAGTCATCTTTAATTGCTTCTACTTTTTTAGTTAAGTAGGAAGATCACAAATTATTTGGATAGAGGAGACAGTAATAGAGACTTGAGGAAGTGGAGAAAAGGATGAAATATATCTTAAGAAATGAGTATACCTTCTGTTTATAAACAACTCAAGGTTTGTATGATTTCTCCAGCATGTGGTTTCTAGGATAACTACCTGTCCAACCCAGTCCTCATATTTTATAGTCAATTACTAAATATTCTGAATGGTATTTGTGGGAACTTTTCATAAATAGGAAGAATTGCTTCTACTGTACTTGAGATTTACTGATTTATGAGGATTATCACTAATGGAGAAATGAGGCTAATACTCAGCACACGGTTTTCTAAATCTTACTAGTGATTCAAAAGCGAGTCAACATTTACTTTTAAAATTTCTGGTGCATGTGCTGTTTTACTAGTTGTGTTAAATTCAGCAAAAATATTTAGGGAAAACAGCACAGGAATTAGGCAAAAGAAGCAATGATAATACTCAAACATTAAACTGTTAGAGGAAAGGGCTGGTTAAAATTCTGTTTAACAGTTTAGTTCCTGAATTTCTGCCACTAAAATGCTAAATCAATTAACAACAGCCTTACTTTCATGTAAGCAATGTAGTTTTACTGTTTTTGTTAAAGAATCTCCCTGAATTTGACCTTGTGTAAAAAGATTAAAAAGAAATTCTATTTCTTATGTTTTAATGAAGATAAAAGGAAACTAAACTACTATTATTTGGCTACAACTATTAAGTGATGGAACACATGCACAATTTTCTTACATGGAGCTCAACGGGGATAGAATAAAAAATGTTCAAGAACAGTAACCTCTATGTAACATATTGGTTTAAGCTGTACCTTAGTGTCCAAAGATGAGAAAATAAAGGTGGAAAAGACACACTCTAATCGTGTATTCAAAGCTACAGGGAATGCTATATTTCATTAAATTTTGTTCATGGCTATCTTTCAAAACTTCTCTATGTATGTGTGTGTGTGTATATATATATATATTTTTTTTTAAAGATTTATTTATTTATTTATACAAGCACTGGGTACAGTGAGAAGCACAGGAGGGTGAGAGAATTCACCAGAGCCAGAGCGGGGAGCAGAGCAGGCAGAAGGACCGAAGTACACTGCTGAGGGGAGCAGCGGGCGGCAGGAGAGGTCTGCGGGCCATGTGGGACCCTCCTCCGGTGGCCGGGGAGCAGCCAGGGATTGAATAGGCGCTGCGGAGGCTGTGGGCAGCTTCGCAACCCAGCACTCAACCACTGTGCCACCGGGGAGGCCCTCTATGTATATTTTTTTATGTTTTTAAAATATATAAGCTATTCTTTCCTCAAGTGCTTATATCAGAGAGAAAGCTACTTACAATGCTCATCTCAGTAAAAAGTAGTAAATGCTAGAATAGTGGTATAGTTTGAGTGCCTAACCTGTGAGACTATAGGGAAGTGGATTGGATAAATATTTCTAGATAATTTCACCCTATAGTAGATTAACAGTTTGTTCAGATCCATCTCTGTTCAACGGTGGGGCACTGGTGATTTCTGTAGATATGGCTTCCTGAACTATAAATAAACTTACCTCAGAATAAAAGTTACATGAAATAACATTTACAACACTTAACAGTAGTTGATACTCAGTAGATACCTGTCAGAAATATTCCCTTTCTTCCTTTGCTTTTTTAGTCCCATCCTCAACCTCTTTCCAGTTAGAATAAACTGAGGAACAAAAAGATATTACCAAAAATAAGATCTTCATGGGTTATGAAATGTTTTGTGATGCTGCATTTGCAGTAAAATATTATAGCAGAAATTTTGAGAAAAGAGATGAGACTGTCATTGTAGGCATAAGACAGTAATGTAGTATTTCACAGACCTTATGAAGAAGTTTGAGCTTTATTCCATAGGCAGTTGGTGGTCACTTAAAGGATTAGAGGAGAATGACCTAGACTGAATTTAGAGCTATATGAATCAGGCAATACTGTAGGCATGAAACAGTTGTAATATATACTAGGTCAAGTGTAAAATCATGTGCTGGATATGACCGGAGATGCTATAGATGGAGAATGGGGTAACTATGTAGGGTCTTTCTTGGGGAGTAGGGGAGAAGGGGTGTACAAAAAAAAAGGCAGTACTTGATATTTGATGGGATTTAGAATGAGTGTAAGATAAGGCAAAGAATGATCCCTTGTTTCTGGTTGTGTGGCATGACTAACACTGTCATGAATTGAGATAAGGATAAAAGATGAGAAATTCTACAAATAGAAGTGGTGATATGGCAAAGATACATTCAGAAAAGAGCTTTAACAGTGCTGGCCATTTTTATTAGTGTGCAATACACTTTAAGTTTACAAAAATATTAGTGTACAAAGAAGACTGATGCATGTGTATATGTGTGTTGGGGGAGGAGTTGTAGAGCTTTATGAATTTCGGCAGATAGGTAATCACTACCTCAGATACAGAATAGTACCCTCATATTAAAGTATTTTGTACTGCTCCTTTCTATCAACTTTATTCCAACTCCTAAACTTTGATGACTGATGTATTGTCTATAGAATTTTGCCTTTTATAGAATGTCATAATTGAATCATAAATAGAATCAAGCATATAATCCTTGGAGGATGACTTCTTTCACTTACCATAATATACTCGAGATTCATGTCTGTGGTTGCATGTATCAATGTTTCATTACATTATACAACTGAGCATTATTCCTTACATGAATGTACTGTACATCATTTTACCCACTCACCCACCCACTAAAGAGTATTTGGATTGTTCCTAATTTAAGTATAAAAAAATGGTCATTTAAGAACATTACCATATTGTGGTACTTCATTACCATGTTGTGGTACTTCTTTAGGCACTTTAAAATCCAGAGTGGGTGATGAATGTTAATGCTTGTATGATTTTCTAGACATTTCTATTCCCTGAGTGTCTCTTTATTATAGAAATGCAGGTCTTATTTTTGATGAATTTATGTGCATTACCTAATAAGTTCTTGCAGTTATTTGCATTTTTCACCCTTAGATAAAATGCCCATTTGAGAAATTTATTTTAAAATAAGTATGACAAAATTTATTGCAAGTAAAAAAGGAGATGCTTTTTTTTTTTAGCAAAAAGAGCTCCTACATTACTTAGAATTTTTGTGGATAAATGTATAAAATAATTTACTCTTACAAGAGGGTAAACATTACCTAAACTCTAAGAATGACATTTTGTCCCTTCATTTTTTTTACTGAAGAGAATGTTGCATTTGTAGCTAAAGAATTTAACCCCCAAATACAATAGTCATGAAGAAAAATAAAAGCTCAGCAACTGTTCATAATGATTGCAACTAAGTATTTGCAGTTGACTATGTGGAATCAGATTACATTGTTCCATTTTAATATTAATGATTTAATAGTCTACCATGTGCCAATATAAATCTGGGTAATTACAAATGTAGAATAGCTGCATTCAACAAATGCATGATACAGTACACCATAAGTTAAACTGTATATAGTATTCTCTTGCCACAGTACATCATTGTTTTGGTGTTATGAAATATTTATATAGGATAGCTTCCAAAATGCTCTCATCATATGAAGTTTATGACAAATATAAGGGGGGTGACAATGCTTTGATTTTAGCAAATTTTAGTTTTCCATTTGCTAATTAGGTTTTTCTCTTCATCAGTAGTTGCACTGTAGCAGTACTACCACAAAAGTCAAATGAATCTCTGTAATTAAATTAAAGCAGCACCTGCGTTCTCAAGAATCATAATCTTCAACTTATGTAGGTATACAACAAAACCAGTGTAAAATTTAGTGGGGAATACATTTTTTGAAAAGGAGTATCTTGTGACACTATATATTCACAATTCTTGTTCTTATTTAGAAGTTGTATATACTAAAATTTGATCTAAATTGAAAGGTTATGTATAGATTTTTTTAAGGACTGTTTAGTAGGCATCATGTTTACTCTGAAAAAAAAAAAAACGCATGGTTATGAACTTGCAGGTTCTTTTGTGGTTTGTTAATTTGGCATGTTTAGTGGAAGAGGAATTTCACAAGGGATATCATAGACTAATATGACATCTTGCAAAAACAGTTCTGGCTGGATAAATCATTTTATTAGATGAAAGTTTTACTCCATATAACAAAATAGTCATCTTTTAATTACAGACAATAAAATTAACATGTAACTGAGGTAAACATAAACCACAGCAGTTTTTGACAATAGTAACCTTTAAAGGGAGCAGTAAGAAAGATTTTATATAGTCAAAACAATTAGACTAATTAAACCATAAAAAAATCATGTTTTATGTACTGCATATGTTACGTTTTAACAGTTTTTTTTAGTTTATTAAATTTAAATCTTTAGCTTATTATGATTAAGAGTAAAGAACTGAGTTTTCTAAACTGTATTAATATTATAAGTCAAAAGGTTAAAGGCAGCTGTAATAAATACCTGAGGAAGATTTTCTGAAAGCATTCCTCTATAAAAATAACAAAATTAAAGACTTTAAACAGAAGAAAAGAATACAATTATAAATTAGCAAACCATTATGTGATCAGATTCCAAACATTTTTTCTGCAATGAAGACAGAATCTGTCTTACCTACTTTGACTTATTGTTATTGGTTGGAGTAGTGGGTTGGGAACCACAGCAAATGTCAGAGGTAAAGTGTGCTGGAGTAGATTATCGATGTCTGCATGGGAAGTATGATATGTTACAAAATACTAAGATCACAATGAGCCTCCTGTCCTCCTCCAAAAAAAGCCACAGGTTGTATGAGTGTTTCTATGAAGACTTTTGCTTGTATGATAGTGATTCATTCTAGTAATTTCCTCTACTTTCTACATTACTAATTTCCTGTGCTCTAGCCATTCTCCAGGAAATATCAAATTCTTTTAACATTAACCATACCTCTTTTTAAAAAGGTATTTTACTTCAAAACAAAATGTCACCTGATGGGTTCTTTTAAGGTTTTCATACTCTGGAGCATTTATCTGTATTACTGTAAAATTATCCTATTGCTTCTCTTTAATAAGTACATAGGAAATTAATGTAACAGCATATATACATATTTTACTATAATAAAGTGCATTTTATTCTATTTGATGTGGATAGCATACATAGTAATTTAAACTTTAGAAATAAGGTTTTTAGCAAAAATATGAAAAAAGTGACAAAATTTTAGAAATTATATTTTGGGCATTAGAGCTTCATAACAATTTTGAAACAACTATTATAAGAGGTACTATTTTATGAAGGAACTTTCCATAGGTTCTAAAATCTAGGCAATGTAAAGCAGAAACATGCAAAACATCTAACATGCTGTAGGTAACCATACTGTGATGGAGAAAGCAAGCCTTCCTAACACAATATAGTTCACAGTAAGACTTAAGTCTTAACAGTAACACAACAAAGGCATCAACCACTTGGAAAACAAGATAGACATGAACTATATATTTCAGGTCTTTTTTCTTCAATAGATATCCAAATACATACACAATTCTAATTCTTTGGGCCCAAAAGTATTAACTGTATATACTACCCTCTTATATTGCTATCAAACCAGAATTTCAGCAAATAATGCCACAAGGACTATTATCTTTACCCAGTACTTTACTCAGTGCAGCAATGTGAAGGGAGGCAAGGATAAAGTCCATTTTATCACAGATAAATGGCATTTAAGAAACAGGTACCTGGTAATCTAGTGCGTAAGTTGTTCTTTCCTTACTGTATTTTTCAGCCCACTTGCGAGTGAGTTCTAGATAAAGACTGGGTTTATGAGGTCGGTAATCCAGGTATACAGTTTTACTGGTTCTTTTCGGAACAGCTTTTTCAATTTGAGTTCCTTCATGCCACTCATTAAAAGAGGTGATGGAAATTAAACTGGGCTGAATTTGCAGTGCAGCTTTCAGAGCATTTTCATAATACTTCCCATTGATTCGGTTCCGAGTGTTCTGAGAGTTCCATGGGCGGATGCTGGTATCTATGTATCCTGGACCCACACTTGGGATAAATAATAGATTGTATTTATCACAAAAGGATTTTAGACTATTCCAATTCTCATATGATGAGCCATATGTAAAACCATTTGTGGCAAAATATGTGTAAATTCCATCAAAACCACCATGGAGAATATTAAATCTATGTCTGTATTCTACTAGAAGTGCAATAAACAATCCATCATAAGGAGAATTGCGAATGCTCTGAGACCCTACGGGGGTTAATAAGTTGGCCCATATTTCAGGTTTTGTGATATAGGAGTCATAGACATAAAACATAGGAAGTGCTTTGCCGGTCTTAGTCTTATACCTGTAAAAGGCTGGATGGCTTCCATATCTAGAATACAAACACATGTAAGAGTGAAATGAATATGCAAAACACATTTACCTTCATTTTCCAGCATAAACAATTTTTGTCTATAGCAATCAGTGCAGTTTGTAATCATTAAAAACACATTTTTAATTTTACACATTGGGAAATGAGTACTATATACATTAAGACATTACCAAACATGAAATCAATTATATTTAAATTTATAATAACACCATAAAAAGCACATTTTATGCATGAATATATAAATTGTTTGGTATCTGTTTGATTTGTCACAGACTATTTTCTGTAAAAAGCCCTGAAAAAAATGTTTTAATAAGTAGACGATGAATCAATACTACAAAAGCAGTTCACATGTCATCTAAATCTTTTAAAAGACATTTTTAAAATAACAAGAAGGTAAGAAACCAACTAGTCTAGTAATTAGAAATCTGTTTACAGAGAAAATAAGTGACTTGTAAGGAACTTAAGACGTGTTCCTCAAAATGATTGCATCTTTAAGTATGTCAGACCAGTCATTCAAGTTTCTCAAAAATTGTAACAGTAAACATAACTCACTTGTTTATAATATATTTCACATTTTTGTACATGTTCTTATCATCTCGATTGGTATAAGGTTCAATGTGAAAAGTGACCTAAAATAAAAAAAAATTAGAGAAAAACCTGATTTAAATTAGTAAATGATTTAATATAAAATTTCATTTTTTTTTAAAGATTTATTTATACAAGCACTGGGTACAGTGAGAAGTGCGGGAGGGTGAGAGAAGTCACCAGAGCCAGAGTGGGGAACAGAACAGGCAGACTGACGAAGTACACTGCTGAGAGGAGCAGCGGGCGGCAGGAGAGGTCTGCGCGCCCTGTGGGACCTTCCACCGGTGGCCGGGGAGCAGCCGGGGATCGAACTGGCGCTGCGGAGGCTGCGGGCAGCTTCGCAGCCCAGTCCGCCGGTAGCTCCGCCGGTGGCCGGCGGAGCAGCCGGGGATCGAACTGGCGCTGCAGAGGCTGCGGGCAGCTTCGCAACCCAGTCCGCCGGTGGCCGGGGAGCAGCCGGGGATCGAACTGGCGCTTCAGAGACTGCAGGCAGCTTCGAAACCCAGCGCTCAACCACTGCGCCACCGGGGAGGCTCCCTCATTAAGTATTCTTAAGTTCTAGTAGAGTCTTCTCAACAAGGCAATCAAAGGTCGGTTCAGTAAAATGTCACCCTGCCAGCTGGAGGGAATACAGGCAATCAGAATTCAAACAACTGCCCATTGGGCAATACTTTAAAGAAATAGGAATATAGTCTATATTCACTGTATCTCTAGTTTTATGGCATTAACAGCAAATGTCTTAGTCTATATTTAAAGAATTAACAAAATTGATGACATATCCACTAGTAATTGTCCGGAGCCGCCTGGAGCATGCGCCGTGTTGTGCATGTGCTCCATGAGTTAGGTTTCGATTTACTGTTTCGCCTTCGGAGAAACCCCTGCAAAGTTTTCCTGTAGATCACGTGAGACTGGGAGGTGTGGGGGGGGGAGCTATGAGGATATAAGAGGAGGACGCGGGGGAGAGAGAGGGAGAAGAAAAGAGATTTAAGAGGAGAACCATGAGAGAGGAGAGTGCTGCGAGAGGAGCAGAGAGAAGGCCAGGGAAGGTAGAAAGACAGGGGAAAGTAAAAGAAAGGTAAAGGAACAATAAAGAAGCAAACGCTAGCGTCAAGTTGTCTCAAGCCCCTCATTTCAATCCTCAGCCCTTCTCTTTTCGTGCCTCCGAATCCCGCGGGCCGGGACAAGTAATATAAAGGTTATATATTATATTTTAAATATAAAAAAAGGTTTTATATACACTCCACCCCACCCCCAGAAAAGCTAATTATAATGTAGATAGTACAGATGAATGGCAATATATTTATAAGCACTAAAAATCTTTATGGAAAGTCTGAAAAACTCATTTCAAGGGTTCACTCCCTATGAAGCATATATGGAATTAGAGACGTGTATGCTACTGCAATGTAACTGAAATGTATTTTATATCAATTCTGTGAAAATTGGTAAAACTGACTAAAAGCAAGGCAGCAGTTAAGTGAACTATCATTTCAGTAAAACAAGGCCTCAGTAATATTACCCAAAGCAAAGTAAGGTCCAATTCATGTCTGCAGCAGCACATCATAAGAATTGCTGGGGCAGATGTTTTAGTAGATGTTTAGTAGTGGGTCTGGTACTTTTTAATTGAAAGAGGATTTGCAAGGTTATAAGTATATTAGAACTCCATATAAATGGTACCTTAGATAATTCTTTTAACTGCATTGTCATTTCTAAGTTTTCACTTTACATATAAAGGACACTACATTTAAGCAAATACCCTATGTCAAAATGAATTCTCTACAGCTGTAAACTGTAAGTGGCTTCCATTTGGTAAAAACTATCAGACCAATATACTATATATGAAACTAAATGTATGCATTATCTTTACGGAATAGGAAATCATGTAAATGTTCCATTTCATACTTCTTGTTTTGGTGGTCCTGCCAGTCTCTAGCCTGTAGCCAAAGTGAACTTCATAAAGTACAATCTAATTAAATCCCAGAGCGGTATCAGCAACATGGTGGTATAAAACTTTCCTCTTGCTTGTGTGAATGTTTTGGGACCTAGAATCTTACCCTAAGCCTCTGGGAGGACTCTCATCAGCTTAGCTGGAAAGACACAAACTCTGTATAAGATGAGGAACCGGAGAGGTGCCAAACTGCCCAGATCCCTCTCACTACTAAAATCTGATTAGTATAGACCAGAGCTAGTACTCAGGCAGGAGAGAGAGAACTTGCAAAAGTTTAACCTTTCAAAATAGATTCCAGCATACCTCTCAAGGAAAAAGAAAATTACAAGAAAAACTTTCCTGGCATGAACCCGCCATCAAGGAAATGAAAGGTGCTGATTTATTGGAAGAAGCTGACATTTTCTGCAGGGAGAAAGGAAAGCAGGAAGTCCCCAATTCTCCCAGCTGGATAGGTCAATACCCTTGTAAAGAAAGTGAGAGCTCTATATTAAGGGTTGGGTGCAGGAATGTCCTTGTGCTTGCTCCCAAGTGCAACTACCAGTGGAAGTTCCAGTAGACAGCATGCTCAGTAACCACAAACTTGACCTATGTTGCCACCTCATAGATAATGAGAGAGGTTTCCAACAGTCAATCTGGAGAACACGAACTACAGAAGATAGAAAAGTTTAAAAATTTGCCCCAGAGAACAAGCAAACTTCAAACATGAATAAATCTACTGGAAGGAATATGAAAAAAATTAAAGATACATAGCATTACAAAAAAAGAAAATCACTATTCAGAGTAGGAGGTTGAATACTGAAAAGTGAATGAAAAATAATTCATGATATCTGTCAAGAAGAAATTCGAGTTACAAGCAAACTCAACTTAAGTCACTGAATTAAAAATATATGTGTATTTAAAAACCAAAAAAATTCTGGAGAAAGAAATTTCAATGAATGAGAAGAATTAAGCAATAGAGAACATACGGAGCAGAGTTCACCAGGTAGAACAAAAAACTTGAAGTAGGGATTTTAAAATAACACGTAAGAGGAAATGTTAAAAAAGAATGAAGAAAACCAACTATTGACTACGGCTATGGGTATGCATCAAAAAGACAATAGAACAACTGAAGTTTTAGAGAAGAGGCAGAGTTTATTTAAAGAAAAAATAGCTGAACATCCCAAATTTGAGCAAAGACTGGGCCATGTAAGTCTACAAAGCTAATAACTCATTATCTCACTGCAAAAACACCTTCAGGTGTTTTTTTGTGACATATAGTCACAATTGTGACATATAGTCACAATTCTTAAGGTGGTTGGGGTAGGGTAGGAATACAACATACAAAGGAAACCACGTTAGGTTATTAGATTACTCAACAGAGCAAGTGTTGAAAAATAAAATCCTCTTGTCTGGGAAATGTATCCTTAATATATGGAGGAGAAAATGCATTCTCTGTGAAACAAAATCTGGAGGAGTTTAACACCATTAGACTTGCGTTCTGTGGGAAGTATTTATTCAAACTGAAAAAAGGACTAATCTGTCACATGAAAGTACACAGCATACTGGTAATGATTAAAAAAAAAAAATCAGACCGAGAAAACCGTAATTCTATATTAGGGTGGTGTGTTGCTATAAATTGTTCACAAGTACACCCAAAAATGGCCAAATCATGACATCAATAACATAAGAGACCTTTATAGTCTACTAAAAATAAGTTGCCTAAAATGAACAGTTCTATAAGCCCATAGTAATGACAAAGCAAAAACCTAGAGCAGATCCACAAGGGGGGAAAACAGAGCATACCGTCACAGAAAATAATTCACAAAGGTAAGACAGAAAGAGTGAAAAAGAAATGAGAAATACAAAACTAGAAATCAGTAAGATCGCATTAGTAAGTCTTTACATACAGTTATTACTTACGTAAATGAACTGAATTCATCAACTCAAAAGGCACTGGGTGGCTGGATGGTTAAAAATACAATATCCAACTATATGCTGCCAACATAAGTTAAGACCCCTTTGCTTAAAGGTAATCTATATGAGTAGAAGCCAAAAGGAAGCAGTAAGTTTTATTTTGGACAAAAAAGACTTAGCCATAACCAATAACGAGGCAAGGATGGTGATTATGTAATGATGAAGACAGAATATATAGTAGTCATAAATGTACACACATCCAACATGTGAGCACCTAAATATGAAGCACATACTACCAGTACAAATGGAGAGAGATACGTAACACATAGTAATAGCAGGGGTCTTCAATCACATTTTCAGTAAAGGATAGAACAGGCAGAAAATTGAGAACAAAGACAGATACTTAGTACAAACATCTGTAGAACATTCCATGCACTCCAACACAATACAAATTCTTGCGTTACAGTTTCAAGGATAGATGACAGGATGGGAAACCAAACAAGACTTGTCAAATTATCTTTTCCGAACATGACATCATAAAACTAGAATACAACATGAGAAAAGCCATAAAATCTACAAATATGTAGAAAGCAAACAACAAATGCCTGCATAACAAATTGGTCAAAAAAGGAATAAATAAAACCAAGTTTTTGCATATTGACTTTGCATCCTGCAGCTTTACTGAATCCATCTATTTCTTTGGTGGAGACTTTAGGGTTTTACCTGCAAAAGATGGCAGTTATATTTCTTCACTTCAAATTTTGATGCTTTTACTTTTTCTTGCCTAATATTCTATGATGCTAATGTGTTGATAAAAATGATGACAGTAGGCATCCTTGTTCCTGATATAAAAAGAAAAGCTCTCAATTTTTCCGTTGAGGGATGCTTTCTCTATAGTGACTGCGTTGTGAATTTTTATGAATGGATGCTGATTTCTTTCAAATGCTTTTATATTTATTCAGGTGACGGCATTTTACACTTGATTCTGTTAATGTACTGTATCATATAGGGTAACTTTTAATTCTGAACCATCGTTACATCCCTGGAATAAACCACACTGTGTCTTGGTGAATGATCCTTTCAATGTACTGCTGAATTAGGTATGCTAATATTTTGAAGAATTTTGCAACCATATTTATCAGAGATAAAATAGTTTTCTTTCCTCATAGCATCCTTGTCTGGTTAGAGTATCAGGGTAATGTTGGC